GATAGTCACTGTTTGTGGCTCTCTTTCTCCCTCTGGTGGATGTGCTGGTACACTGCACCAACATGCCAACACAAAGACTTATCTTCTTTTCTTAAAATTGATTTTTGGTGAAATCCATAGACAGAGCGTATCATTCCACTTAAGATATGAACAACACCAGCTATTTGAACATTTGTGCAGCATATTTCTAATTTATGCTCTAATACTGTCAGTAACTACTGCCCCTTGAGGATTTCCTTTGTTTTGCTGTGAATGAGGGAGTTGTTTCCACTGTGTTATCTGCACTGTGAAGAGTGAGTGATTCACCCTGATGAAATGTGCCAAAGGACCATGGCTTCTCAATAGTTAGGGCTTTTCATGATGAGATCTGAGACTGCTTGTCGTGTTTAATTTGAAACTAAACAAGCCTGTTCATTCTGGGGATTATCTGTAAAACAAATCTGCAATTTATTGTGATTTCTGGCAAGAAAACGCTGTAAAACGAATGCCTTTAATCAGATGTGTTTATGGCTGCAAATGGAGAGCAGTTATGGATGTAATAGCATAAATACATGTCACATATTGCATTTTGGTAAGCTTATAGTATCCAAAAAAGCCTATTTAATATGTTTCATTCAGACTATTGTTTCTAAAAAAAGTAATATTGTTCTTCCTTGGGTTTAATGTTTCCCTGGTGCTAAGAGGAAGAACACCAACTTGAGAAGTGGTTTCTATATTATATTACGTTAATGTGTGTATTCTAAATGTAACTCAATCATTTGACTTGGTATGTGTACTCTTGATTTAGAGATATGCTGGAAATCATTGGGATAACTTAGGTTCAGTGTTGTCTCATGTTGTACTATTGGATGTCTGCCATGTGTATGTCCTCTTAAAGATTTAAGGGAGGTCAGTGTGTCTTTTTTGGCAGAACTGAAGTAGAAGTTCTACAGGGAGACACACCTGCTTTATATTTGTCACTGTTCCATGTTGAATGGAGACTTGCTCAAACATTGTAAAACCCATTACAATAAAATGTCCTGATTCTTGATGCTGGAGGTCCCCTGTGAGCCTCTCTCTGATCCTAATAAATCAACAACATGGATGGCAAAATGTGAGGGTGTTTGTGTCAGTGATGTGTGCTCTGCATGGAGTGATCAAAGCATCAAACTGCCTCATCGTCCCCGAGGATCCGGCCTCTTCACAGGCGCTGGAATGACTGAATGAGGACACTTGTGAGCATACTGAATCTTTGAAAAGCAATAGCTTGATTGTGGTTTCAGTGGTTTGGTCATTTGTCTGGAGGTTTAGTGCTCCATTTCACTAAAAGGGGAGAGATTATCATGTCAGATTAGATTGAAGAGATTAGAAGCAAAGGTCTAGAGGGGAGATTAGGTTTAGCCGAGGATCATGTTGAGGACAAACGTCTTATGTATACCTGCAAGGTGCACCGCAGCCTGTGGCGTGTAAATGCAGCATTAAAAACGGATAAAGAGTAAGAGTAGTATCATTGCACATGTGTAAAGGACGCCTCAAGTGAAGGGAAAAAAGAACAATTGACACCAACCCTCTGTCCTTCTCTTATTTTCTTACGTATCGTTCGCCCCTGTGCTTTACCTCACCGCTGGTGTCATTTAAAGACGATATCCGTCTGTCACCTTGACTCTCAGCGAGGACACTCAGGTGACTGTTTGATTCCTCTTGACCCATAGTCAAGAAATAGATGTCATGACTCTAAAACCAGAGGTAACTTTTTTCAGACTGGTTGAAATTGACTCAGCAGTCACCTTTATCTGCTTAGCTAAAAACAATAAATCAGTTTTAAGTAGTTGAATAAGTATGTTCACTTAAGCCAAAATAATGATACGACCATGTAAATGTACCTGCAAAATATACTGAACCCATTCAAGTCAAACTAATTGTTCTACATATAAATAGTTTTCTGTGACTGATGGATTATTGTGTGATATTATTAGATTGTAAGCACCAATACACCTATGTTTAAGCAGCTGTTGTAGCAGGCATACTTTACTTTTCAATGTTTTAGTAGAGTTGTTCCCAACCCGGGGTCATGATATTCTGATGTGCTCTGAGAGGAGTAATGGGGTGGATGGAATTAAAGGTTCGGTTACTTTTTATTTTGTCTTTCCCTTCCCTAAATTATTGGAACATTTGAAAAGATTGACAAGGCACTTTTCAACTCTTTAACAATGTGGTGTTATGTAGTGATAAGATAACAGTATTTTTCTCTGAAATGCAACGGGGTTATCAAAGCATGCTCTATATGAATCAGGAGTGACAGCTCCTTGTAATTCATATGTCTCCTGAATGCTCTCTGGCAGTGAGCTGCAGCCATAAGGTCTCCCTGCGGTCTTCTATCAAGATGGATTTCATGAACCTGAGGAAAGCATGCCTTCTCAAATTCTACCCAGGAGAGAGAGCTACACCTGGAAAGGAATGAATCATCACAGGATATAGACCTGGAGCCATCTCTGCTCCTGTATACTTGAATGAATAATTTCATTTTGTTCTCACACGCATGCCACCCTACTCTCATGCAACCGCTGACCCCTCTTTCATGACATCTTGATGTGATGGCTGTCTGATGGATGTGGTGGCTTGACATCTGGGTGTCGCTTGACCTGCTTTGTTTGTAACCGAAGTGTCCCTGCCTTCCTTATCAGATGCTTCGGGCTCGGTGACATGGCCTGGCTTTGTGTTGCTCATCACACAGGCAGCAACTGCCATGTGTGATCCATCACGAGAGACCTGTGTGTTTTAGGTTAAACCGGCTCGCATCGTAAGGTCATGCGTGTTTTTAGATACTGTTTGCAGGATGTCCTCCAGCCATTGTTTTTCAAAGTGTGGTTGAAAAGGTCTTGTGTGAATTATGTAACTGCCTCACATCACAACTACTGGTGAAGGCCTGTCTCTCACAGCTGATACACCTCAGTCACACACCCAGAATTCAGTCTCCTCCTCTACTACAAACCAAATTCCACTGGAATTTCCTTGCATTTAATAAGCACAAATTATAATATAAAATACATTCACAGTGTAAAATAACACTTGTTGCATGTGGAAGGATATAGACTTTTAAATTTGAGGCCAAATAGTCAAAACTTGTAATCCACCTATACAATGTGATGAAATGTAAATACTCTTTTTCTGTTTTGTACTTTACCTGGGTATTTACATTTGATGCAACCTGCTTACATTCCATTTTTAGAGGGAAATGTTGTACTTTGTACTACATTCATTCGAGAACTGTAGTCAATTGTTACTTTTTCAGATAAAGATTTACCATTAAAATGCCTGATAAGCTTATAAAACACAATACGTCATTAAAGACTGAACCAGTTGTTCCCAAACTTTTTTTTGGCGCTTCAACGTAGAAAAACTTCTTAAACCTAACCCTCTTAAAAAAGTCAAAAAATCAGTTTGCAATGGGTAGAATACTATTTATTTCCATCTTTACTATCACAATAATCATCTCATAGCAGCTTTATCTCGTGACCCTTTGAAGGGGAACCGACCAGCAACAAATAAAAAATGCAACTTATGCTTGGATACACCTTTGTTAACATCTAATATTATCCTATTATAATATTTAGGGGGGGGGGGGGGGCATTTTTCTGCAGAACAAATACTTTGAATAGGCTCAGTACATTTTGCTGCAAATAAATCTCTACTTTTTTTTTCCATTGCTGTGGATCTGAATACTTCTTCCACCAGTGTAGGTGTACTGAATTTCTGTTACTGTAAACGTGACGCCGTTTCTATTCGACAGACTTTGAAGTTGTTCCTCTTTACATATTAAATCATTTCCCTTTTTAATGTTTCAATCTTCTCTCTCCTTTTCTGTATTTGTATTATTGTCTTTTTGTCCAACATGAAAACAGCTGTTGTATTGCTCCTAAGGTATGAGAACAGGTAACCCAGACTGTTACTGTAACAGTCGTAACAGGTTGTTTATCTTCCTTCAGGCTACAACAGGGTTAAAATGTTTACCTATCTGCAGGCCAAGCACTTATTCAAAACGACCAATCAGAGGACGCCTTTAGAAAACAAAGTGGGTTGAGGAATGAAAGCAGATAGGGTGAACCACGCCCATAGACGATGGCTGACCTGGAATCAGTTTATTATTCTTGCTGTAGGTAAGAGACTCATCATTGTTTGAGCACAAGTACAACCAGAAGTGAATGTATCCCTCCAGGAGAGGATCTGTGATTCAGCTGCTCAGCATTTATTCTTTAAAACGAACAAGCAGCTGTAAAAGCCAATGAGGTGGAAGAGGACGTGGTGATTTTCTGATCTATGTGTGTGTGTGTGTGTGTGTGTGTGTGTGTGTGTGTGTGTGTGTGTGTGTGTGTGTGTGTGTGTGTGCGTGCGTGCGTGCGTGCGTGCGTGCGTGCACGTGTGTGTGGGACAGTAAGTGTGCTAACAGTCACAGCAACTTGAACATTCCTCTGTGATTATACCACGGCTTTCCAAGTTACATACTTGACTAATGTACTCCATAAATTGGATTCACTCCCCGCTTATGCAGTCCTTGCTTCATTCAAAAATACACACAGACACACACACTCTCTTTATCTTCCCTCACACCCTCTTTCTTTCTTTTTCTCCCCCTCTTCCTCTCCTCCCTCTGTCTCTCTCTTTTGAAGAAGTTTTCCATGCGGATCCAAGTCAAACATCTGGGTCAGTTTATATCTAGTGGAACAAGACTTGCAGGATATTGTTGGCAGGATGTGTGAGCTGGAGCAGTTTACTCGGTGGGAATCCCCAATACACACACACACACACACACACACACACACACACTAACACACTATTCTGGCATTGTTCCTCTCTTCCTCATTCAACGTGATTTCCAGGTGCGGCAATTCATGGCCGACATGTCAGTGAATACTTGAGAATACATGAGGGATATAGTGTGAGAGGAAGTATGTGGAAATCAAAAAGAACACAATGAATAGTTGGTTAAATGCCATGTTTAATATTTTTGAAGAATGCACTGGTTATTACCAAAAAGGATTACAAAATATGCGCAAGAAATGGGATAAATCATATTCTATTGTTCAACGCGGAGTACATACAATAATAGGATAATCTGTTACTTCATATATGTTCACAAATTATTCATGTGCAAGAAGTGCTCTAGCTTCCTTTCTTTCAGTGCCTTGCTCAGAACATACAACAAACTGTTAAAACTGCTATATTTGAATTTAAATATACCCTGTTCTGTATGTAAAGTCACTCACTTTGGGTTCAACTAGCTCCGGATATGTTGTGGTATGAAAAATAGGAGAAAACACTACCCCTGCTGAATATCCTGTATACTGTGGACCCACAATCTATCTGCTGGACCGCTCCCCTCATATGTAGTTGTAGTGTTTACAAATTGCATAAGACAAAAATCCATTGCAACAGTTATTTCCCCTCCTCCTCCTTCTTTACCCCTTCCTCTCCCTCCTACTCTCCCCCCTCTCCTCTCTTGCACTGATTCAATTTTTCTTCTCCGCCGACTCGCCTTCCTTTGGTGTCTCATCTGTTTTGCTATCCAGGAAGAAGTCGTTGCAGGCGACAGTGAGGGCGCCCATCAGGATGATGAACTCGGTGAAGTCCACCTCCCCGTCGTTGTTGGCGTCCAAGTCGTTCATCACCTTCTCAACTGCTTCATTATCTTTGGAGGAGCCCTGTCAGAGGGAGGAACAGGGGGTTCAGAATGTGTGTGTGTGTGTGTGTGTGTGTGTGTGTGTGTGTGTGTGTGTGTGTGTGTGTGTGTGTGTGTGTGTGTGTGTGTGTGTGCGTGTGTGTGTGTGTGTGTGTGTGTGGGTATACATCAATGAACAAGCTTGTCTGAGCTTGCATGTCCCAGTATGTGAGTGCATACCTTCACCCGTGTGTCCCATATTTGCAAACTTCATTCATGTGCAGTGTACAAGCACGTATTTTCTACTTCACACACTTCCTTACCCCTAAGTAAGTCCCCAGCTCCTCTAGTAGCAGCTCCTTCAGTTCACCCCTGCTCAGCGTGAACTTGTCGCCCTCCTTCCCGGAGTACTTGTGGAAGGTCTTTATGAGCATCTGCATGGCACTCTCCAGGTTGGAACTGGGCTCCTTGGACATACTGCAAAGTTATCAGGTCCAAAGGTCAGAATCTGCTACAAAATGCCCGCTCCAGCCCAAGCTGCATGTGCGGTCACATGCCAATCAAGGGGGAAGCCACCTCTGAGTCAAAGTGATAGTTGGACAGGTAGATGGATGGATGGAAGGAAGGAGGTTTTCCCATTTCTACACAATGGGTCGAATAACGCTCTGCGTGTAAGCAGAGGCTATTACTCACCCTAATTTAAGTAGTGTGGTCACTGTGTTTGCGTGACCTTACTAGGTTTTACATTGCAGAGGTTTGGATGGAAAGATGGAGGATAGCGTTGGAAAAACTTTTCGAAACAATCTTACACACATTGTGTCCGGCATCTTGGAGCTTCTTGAGCTGGATTTGTGGAGAGACTGCACAGACAGACACAGATTAGTCACTGTCAATGATGCAGAGTTAGAGTGTTAAGACTTTTCTATGTCAACATATTTACAAAAAATGCTTTGTGACACCTAAAACATAGTTTTAAGAACATTTCAGCTGTTTTGAAAGTTTACTTTTTGAGTTATTGCTCTTGTGAATGAATGGGTAATGCATGTAACAATTAAACCTGTGGTTTCGGTGGAAAGTGTTTTCATGTCTGTTGATCCTGTAACAGCCTCATCATTCAAGATGGAAACCAGGAGAGAAACACAAAACTAGTCTGGTGCTCACATTCAGAAACCGAGTACCCTGAGGTGCAGGCCTGTGATCTAATATGTGGCTACAGCTGATGGAACTCAATTACTTTCACCCTCGCTCAGTCACATTCAACTTGCTAGTCAAGTTCAAAAGCTGAGGTATCTAGAAATTAGGATATAGGCTGTTATTTTAAGGTTATACAGAATCAATATGTCAATCCATCCCTGAGCATGATTTATTAACTATGAGCTATTGCATAAGTAGACAGGGATGCTATTGTCAGTCTCCGGTTATTGCCTCTTATCGTTCTGCAGAACATTGTGCCGCAGAGTTCAGAGTTGTAGGCGGCGGAGATAAAAGAGGAGGCGAGTGGACACCAAAGCTGGCTTACTGGAAAATGTATAGGGGTCACCCGTCTCACTGACTGACACAATACAAAAGAAAACCATGGAGACCAAAATGCTATCAGTAACACAATATTGTGTAAGGCATGTAATGAAGATGCATATGGTAACGCCATGGTTAACGGTATGGAATAATCAATATCGAATGACACTAAAAAAGCAAATTGTTAAAATAGGGCATTGACATATTATTTTGTATAAATACCAGTGCACAGTAATTTCACACTGCTTGGTAAGAAGTCCCTATTGGTTTAACTTTTTTGATGTAGGAATTCCCGGTTGTGCGCTTCTCAAAGTTTGCACAGCATCAAAAGAAAGAAAACAATAACCTAAGATAAAAAAGTGAAATGTCTCCCGCAGTCCTATTTTAGCGCCTAGTGTCGTTATGCTCAGAGGTTTTCTGATTCTACAGATATTTACTGTTCCAAAGCTGATAAAATGTGTATCATTGACTATACGAGTTAGATACATAGGAGAAAGTACAATGGAGAAACCCATTCAAGCTGTCTGTCTTACCTGAGTGCTGATGGAGGGCCTTCTTTGTCTTTGAAGAGGTGCAGGGGACTGAGCCAAGGCAGAGATGGATGTGGAGAGAGTCTGCCAGTGGCTTAAATATCACCTGCACCTCCCCCTCCTCCCCCTCCAAACTCCTTCAACCTCTTACATACTCTCTACTTCTGTTTCTCTATCCTCCCTCCATCTCTCTCCCTTTGCAGGTGCTTTCCATCACACACACACACACACACACACACACACACACACACACACACACACACACACACACACACACACACACACACACACACACACACACACACACACACACACACACACACACAGCTTTCTTGCAAGTAAACAAGGTCACGCAAATTGTTATTGTCACAGTTTTATTCAATATTAGCCATTAAACATGTTACATAGAATTAGCAAAAATGATACAGCATAGCATGCTAGCATATTGGAGTTTACTGGACATGTCAGTGGACTTAAATTAGTCCAACTGCTAAACACATACACCCTCTAGCAAGAAATAAGAGTACATCAACACACAATGATGAAACCCTGCACAATATCCTGGGAATGGTCCCATAATCACAATCATATTTGACCCAAAGCACATCCGTTTACTTGTATGTACACTTATTATATCTGCTGGGAGAATTCTTAAGGCTTGTATGCCCATCTACTGTGTCAAAGAATGAATGAGAGCTATTGTGTATCAATGAATAATCTGGCGGCAAACACTCCCTGCTGCAAATCTGCTGTGTTTGGTTTCAGCATGTTTTAAATCTACATGGAGTTAAAGTTGGGTGGGGTTCACACTATGGGACGGAGAAAAAACTTCCAGTTCAGACAGTTCAGAATCTTTGAAAGAAAACTCACAGTGCACTCCGCTAATCTGCTGTTCCAAAATGGTTAAAAGAAAGCATTAGCTACAATAGAATTATCTATTGCAACATAAAAATGCAAAAACAAGCTTGACCTATGGGGGAATAGCAAAAAGGGTTTGAAGCTTGCCAGTATGCTGTAATCTAGCCGTAGATGGTGCAAGAGAGTGATATGTTTCTATTTTTCACAGAAAGTATCATGATTACAAATGTTTTGATATAAAAAAATATAGATTGTAATAAAACAATGAATAATGACGCCTCAATAGCCAAAACATTTCCAATAAGTTTGTTAGTAAAAGATCATGCAGGAAACACAGCAGAGTGTGAATGAGAGAGTATTTACAATGGGAGTGTCGCAGTGAGGCAGGGTGACCACATGACTCACAGGTTTATTTGTCTTGCCCATTTAGCTGCTGAGCAGTTTGAAGTGCCAGGTGCAGTTACAGTGCAAAAGGTGCACATTTGGTAGTGTGCCCAAAATGTGTGTGCCTTGAGCACTACGCAGCAGGCCAGGTAGACATATATCATAGTGGGCCTGCAACACAAGCCTTTTTCTCATGGCTGCATTATTTATGATGAGACAATTTACAAATCATTAAATTGTAATTAACGAATTGCATATAAGGTGACAAAGAAGTATGTTTTCAAGTGATCTCCATAGTGGTCCAAACAAGAAAGAGTAAGGTTACAAAGTTAAATATAAAGAGGCCATGTCGAACTTAAATATTTGGCCACAATAATTGCATTACAATGTTAATGGTAGCATGCAACATCTTATGTATAGGCTGTTGTAAAAGAGCACACCACATAGATCTATATTGATGGCTCAGTATTATTATTTTGTTTTAAAAAAGCACCTCGGAAAATGATCCCTCTGATACAACCTCGTCTGATAGGCAGGATCACTGAAGCCCGGGATTACATTCATGTAATTATTTCTGTCCCAGGGTGTTCTACCCTTCAAATGCCTAATCCAGTGGTTTCCCAATGCCTGTGACTCAAGGATCCAGTTGCAGGTCAAACAGGGTCCTTAATCTGTTTGAGGGTGTGACCGACAAACAGGCATGGCTGTTAAACTTGTGCTAATACAAGCAGAAAACAGCAAGCAACAATTAGCATATTCAAAGAGAGCCAGGTTTCTGTAACTCCAATCGAGTGCTACCAGGGTCCCTCCAGATAATGCACCGGCACATTTATGGATCAATTACCATTCAAATACCATTGACATAACAAATAAAAATGCAGTAATTGTGTTGGTAAGTACTTGAGATAAAAACTGACACAAAGTGACACCTGTTATGGGTTTCCTTACTTGTAGGTGTTTGTTATCTTGTTCTTGTCTACCAGTTCGAATCCAGGTGGATTAGGTTGCTCCAGTCAACAGCCCACTCCCATGGGACTCATTTGGGGCTCCCATTTGACCATAAGGGTCCTTTGGTGTGGATTTCTTTCTTGAGACTCAATTATTTAGGACCAAACTTGATCTTACATTCCGTAATCCATAGCTGACTTGGGGTTATTGGAATATACTGTAGGATCCACTTGGGGTGAACTTTTATGGGAGTTACAGAAAACAAAAGGAAGCGACAGATAGCCCATAAAGTAGAGTGAGATAGAGAGAGAGGGAGATGAGGGTTGAGTACACAAAAAAGATGGGTTGAATTAATGCAAATCTTCAGCAAAACAATTTGTTTATTGTCATGCCAAATCAGCTACATAGCATTGCGAGTTAAAAGATGAGAATGTAAAAATGGTGTTATTGACAGATTTCCATGCAACAATTAAAATAATTATTTGATGTTATGGGACATTATTAGCGTTCATGCTGAGAGTTAGCTGAGAATATTGATACCACCTCACTTTAATCTGTATGGTAAAGCTGAAGCTACAGCCAGTTTAGCCTAGCATTATGGCTGGAAACAGTCAGCTAACATGGCTCCGTTTGTAACAAAATCCATCTATCAGCACTTCGGAAGCTCGCTTAATAAAATGTTTTACCGTACAAGAGTCACATTCTAAACTGATCAGAGATAACATGTCAATTTGTTAGCTTTAGAGGTGCTTGCCGCGTTTCCAGTCTTTGTGCTAAAATTAGCTAACCGGCTAATGGCTGTAGCTTGTTTTACCAAGGACCAAGGCTTTGTTAGCAGTGTAGAGAGGTTTTGAAAAAGTCCAAGTTAAAGATATTAGTGGGGAAAGGACTGTATTTAAACTTGACATCTTGACTGCAGTGGCACTTTGTGTGTCAGTATGCTGCTGAGAGTAAATCTTATTTTGCAGTAAACTTTTCACAGGGATATGGCATGCATATGATAGAGTACTTCTGCATGCTATCATAGTATATGATCATAATGAGGTAAATGTGCTATAGTGGGATGCACATGCTGTACATATAGACATAGTGGTAACAAATAGTACAAAGCAATGTCATGTACATATTTATCATAAATGAGGAATGGGGTTTCTTCAACTAGGTTAGTAGGGTTGTGAACTTTTACCAATATTTTGTATTACAAAGTTGTCTGTATTTGAACAAAAAAACTCTTTAGTGGCATATTTTGGCGATCATGCTGTGATTAGTGTAGTGTTGATTGTAAGAATGTAGTGTGATTTCTTTTTGTGAAGGAATGGATTGTCCCCTATGAGGTCGCCTCCTCAATCTTCTTCTCCACTTCTTCCTCCACAGCTTCAGCCAGCTTCTCGACGGCTTCCTCCACCTTTTCTGTTTCCACCTTAATCTCCTCTTCTTTCACAACCACTTCTTTCACAACCTCATCCACCGTTGGAGTTGCCTCCTCTAATGCTGCCGCCACAACTGCTGCGGCTGGTTTCTCCTCCTCCTTCGCTGCCTCAGGATGCGTCTCCTCCTCTGACTTTACTTCTACCTTAGCTTCTGCATTTCCAACTAGATTTTCTTCTACCTTTGCGTCAGCAACTGCTTCTACCTTTGCCTCTTCATTCACTTCTGGCTTGGCTTCCTCCTTTGCCTCTGGCTTCTCCTCCACTTTGGCGGGGGTACTTTGTGCCACTTGTTCGGACGCATTATTTTGAGCAGGCTCCTCTTTGGCAGCTGCACGTTGTTCACTGAGCGAGACAGCCAGGTAGCCGACCAGCTTCATGTACTCCTCAAAACCAACCTTGCCGTCTTGGTTGGCATCCAATCCCTGGGCCATGTTGTTGACCGCCTCCTTGCTTTCTGTATCCTGGAGAGAATAGGCACACACAATCATGAGACAATCAAGCACGATGATTATCTAATTTACCTGGAATCCCAGTGGAGAAATCAGCATACAGAAGTAGTAAATTACCCTCTAAGAGTGGCCCTATCTACATTATAATGCTAATGAATGTCATTGTTTATTTTGTTTGTTTTTATTATGCCTCCTGTAGCACCTTGGGATTGCTGCTAGCAATGAAAGGTGCTTTATAAATTGAATTTATTATTATTATTATTCTATCATATCAGATCACTTTACCCCATACACCTATATTACACAACCACTTGTCACAATGCTTAAAATTGTGAACAGGTTGAAACTAGCCTCTGTTTATGCAAGACTGCTTTGTGTTTTCTATGAGGTGGTTACATAATGCAAGTGTCGGTCATATTTCAGAGAGGTTCAATGAGGATTTCCTTACCGAAAGGACGTTGGAGAGCTGGTTCTTGACGAGGTTCTGGAACTGATTCTTTCCTAGACTCTCCTTTCCCTTGGTTGACTTCAGGAAGACCTTCACGAGGTCCTGAATAGCATTCTCCATGATTCCTCTCTGTGGGAGAAGGAAGAGGTCAAGATATTGGTGTTAGATAGATAGATAGATAGATAGATAGATAGTTAGTTAGTTAGTTAGTTAGTTAGTTAGATAGATAGATAGATAGATAGATAGATAGATAGATAGATAGATAGATAGATAGATAGATAGATAGATAGATAGATAGATAGATAGATAGATAGATAGATAGATGGATGGATAGATGGATAGATGATGATTGCAAAGTCTTCCACTATGTTTTGATTAAAAAAATATTGTAACGATAATGCAAAACCAGTGGAAAATGAAACAGAGGATCTTCCTTGCGCGTCCCCATGAGGGTTAGTTTCAGGTGTTGAGTCTGGAGCCGCATAAGGGAGGGACGGTGACGTGAGATAAGTTAAGAGGGTGAGAGGGAGTCTGATTGAGAGACAAGCTGTGATGCACAATGGAAGTTCTGATCTTTGATAGGTCACCTGATATACTGAAGCTACCATGGGGACTGGGTTTCAGATTACCTAAAGGATTACTTAGTCCCGGTCTGCTCCGCTCTCTCTCTCCTTCTTTCTTTCTTTCTGTCTTTCTTTCTCTCTCACCAGCTGTATCTGCCTCTCTTACCCTTTGCTTGTCACTGCCTCATACTTGTTTTCACTTTGCTGCCCTTGTTTTTTCTTGAGCCTTCACACTGGTGCACACTAACACATTTGACAAAAGACTTGATAACTTGATAACCAGGAGAAAACCCCCCATAGTTTCACATGATTTATATAGACACAATCATCAGTTAGACATTGACAGATGTATAATCTATAGACATAGCTCAAAATGTAAAACATGCCAGTAGGTGACACAGCCTTTCAGGAATTCCAGTCATTGCTGTCTGTGGAGATCACTTAGACAGGAATTTACAGGCCAACTCCGAGCTAGTTTTGCCCCAAAGCGGTGGAGGGGTGTTCGAGGCGAACGTACTTGTCTGTCAGCTTCAGTATTCAAATACTGCAGAGCAAACAACAGTTTCTGCTGGTGAGAAAACACTCCTTGTCTCCACAGGATGCCATGTCACTCGTGGCAGATTAGCAGTCATTTGTAGACGACACATTCATATCTCAATTACTGAAGTGCATGTCCCACTCAAGCCAAGACATTTCTCCACAGCAGTCACTACATGCACATGTGGCTAATTAAGGAAGGGGCCTGTTACAATCATTATACCCTAAGAGACAAAGAGCTCTGACACTATTACAAAGGTCAAATTTCCTCCTCGAAAATGTGACTCTTTGACCCTAATGATGCATGATTTTGGTCTGAACCATTTGGCCACCATGTGAGCCCAATGCAGAAACATTTTGTATAGTAAATGAAGCATATCCTATCTGATTGTTAATGCACTTGTCATTAAATAATAGTGATAATACCAGGATTTTAAAAGAAGTACATTAGCCAAAAACTCTAGATATCATGTATATTGTCAGTTTTTGTGATTATGGAGAGCAGTCCATATTTTGACACACCCTCAGCCTGAGCACACAAGATCCTTAACGGATTTTGGTGTGTCCTTTACACACAAAAACAGCAACGGCGTTTTTTCTATTTTAGGATTGACATTTCTGTCCCTAATCACATTCATTATTTACCTATACCGTTCTTAAGGTGGTATTGTTCGCTTGGACAGAGTCCCAACACGTGCCCTAATTTTGACAAATGAATTGCATCTCCGGTCCCATATCGAGCTTCATCTTGTCCCACTCAAGAGACAAACTAATCCTTGTTATTTGTCTTAAAAGGCCAAAACAGCAACGGGGCAAATAATTAAATATACAGGCCTACAACCATAGGGTTTCCCGTTTCACTCCATAGCCCAAAGTAGATTGCGTGTTGTGTTTCCAAATGGGCGAACGTGATACGGTATGTGCGCAGAGTAATGACAATACTACCGCTCGTGTGGCATCAAATATTAACAGAGGAACAAGTTAGGTTGTGGCCGTAAATTGTGGTAAGCAGACGTCCAGCGGCTGTCTATCATCCATAGTTCAGATAGGTTTGAAAATAGCAACAATTGGACGCGGGACGTTGCGCAACACTGCCAGGACTCATCATTAACACCATACGCTGCTTTCAATGTTGAATTAAAGCGGTTAAAGAAGTCACAACCTACACAGCTCTACAAAGATCCACTCAGAATGCCAAGCTGTCACTCCCGTGGGCCTCTTTATAAGAAGCATATTGTGGGCAAACTGTTGATTTTGCGTAAAACTGCGCTTTTACGCGCGAACCAGGGTATACACTCTCAATACTCTGCCACCTTTAGCTTCTTTATTATATATTCCCTTTGCAAAGGATCTACAAAATGAGTACTGATCCACATAAAAATACCAAATATCATTCCGAGGGAAAGAGAGGGAGAGAGAGAGTGCATATGGCTATCAAACACGTCACTAAACCCGAAAGTAAACGTCAATAAAAGCAGATTAACCACCAACTTTTATAATTTACTCTTAAAAAAGTGCAACGTGAGCCCAAATATTTCTGAGTGCAGGAGTCATTGAAACCGACCTGCAGTCAGTCCGCGGCCAAGTTTCATGGGATGGCTCTAGCAAGAGTCTATCGAAACGTGGCAAAATCCATGAACAAATACAATGCGTATACGCACGAGAAACTTAAAAGAATCCAGTAAAACGCATTCAACTCACCGTATAACGTCTGCGGGACAAGCGAAGTGTATAAATGTGCGCAAATGTGAGTTTCTGCCCTCTTTCTCCGCCTTTACGCTGCTTTGAGCCTAGGGAACTTGCCAAACTAGTAGGACAGCAGAATCTCTTCCGTGATTTAGTTTTTTTTTTCTTTCCTTAAAACTTTTCCCCCTGACAAGTCAAAGGGCGTGTACCTGGAAGAGTGAGAGGGAGAAGTGGGAATGTGGAAGAGCTCGGCTCTAACGCTCAGGAAAAGGGTGTGAAAGTGTATCAAAACACTTATACTTGGTTTTTATTGGAATTATCTCTGGCTCATGGGCCAGCTGTTTCACGTCATGCGTGATTTGCACAGTTTCACGCCAACTATCCAGGCTTGTGGCTTGGAGCAGCTTCATCTGCTGGGACGAGGAGACAGGGCGGGAGGGATTACTTCATCTGCACAAGCCTCGACTGCTTATTAAAGTATTCACTTGTTAAATGTAGACAAAAAAAACACTTTAAAACAAAGCTATCATCCATTTTCTTACAATCCTTTCCAGGGAGGATGTCTTTTTACACATCTGTTTTTCTTTTTTTTACACATCTGTATGTGTTTTGCACTCACAAAATGAACAAACATGAACAAAATCATAGTTTCCAACTGTAAAAGACAGCTAAACTTGTGTTGGAGCTTCAAGTTTTTCCCAACTGACACTTTGGAAATTTGAGAGCTTAAAGGAATCTTGGTACCACTTTACAACTTTACCCTTATAAAGGATTCATAAAGGGTTTATAATTAGGTTATGAATTAGGTTGTAAACACTTTATTAATCATTAAGAACCATTTATAAACCAGTTCTAACAGTTTTCATACAACACAGGCTCACTATTTGGCAAGATGACTAAGCCTTACATTGGCGAGAATCAACTCAGTGAGCAACAGATACCAAGGATGCTGGCTGATGAAGACGAAGTAAGCTAAGTAGCAATAAGACAGATAAATGTGGGCTCACTATTTGGCAAGCAACCGGTCACAGTTGCCCTGTTTATCTCATGTCTTATAAAAGCTTATTAATGATTTATAAAGTGTTCAGAACCTAATTAATAAATGAATTACAAACTATTCATAAACCCTTTATAAGGGTAGTCTTATTGTAAAGTGGTACTGGAACCTTCATTGGAAATATTAAAGCCAGTGAGGGTGGCAACACTGTTGCAAGAGGTAAAGCAGTCTTGCCAGATTCTTGAAATTGCTTTTGAGTAGTCTTTAAATTCCCTCTACAGATTAAATCTCATGGGTGATTCTTTGAGATACAAGCCTTCAGACACAGGTTATTTGGTGAAAAATCTCCAGGTTTCTCACTAAGGAGACTTTCCCGTATACACAAAGTGCACAAACAATCACACAGGTAGTGCCCTTACTTTTTTTGTCTCACCTTCACTCCTCCCACACTGGCAGTTTATCATATCTAATTTGGATTCAAAGGGCACATTTTATAATCTGCCAACGTATCTGTGTTTTCAACATCACTTAGCAGCACCTTATCCTTTACAGAATTAAAACAGGCCTATAGGCAATAAAACAGCTGGGTAGCAAGCCAGCACATAACTCTGTCTAGACATCAGAATGAGCACAAAGTGACCGTGTAACACAGATAATTAACAGCTAAACAAGGACAATGCATTGAGACTACAACGCTCAAAATGTCCCAAACTTAATGAGATGTATGTGGTTCACATATCCCAATTACACAGTCCACTGAGGCCTTAGTGAGAGACAGTAAAGATCCGGCTATGGTTTATGCTTAACGCTTGGAAAGGCCGCTTTGTGTAGGCATTATGAAGCTCTATGGAACAAGATATGGGGCGGATGGTTTATTTGTGGCAGCAGTAACGCATATAGGATTACAGACCCCTAAATCAAGGCTGTAATACACTCCCGCTCAAATGTGGGTGCATGGTACATCATATAATGTGGTGAATGAATGACAGGACAGTGAGTGTTGGTGGCTGAGGGCTCAGGACAATGAAGCCTTTAATTCAAAGTCCCCTGCATTCAACAAATGTTTAACTAAAGAGTTACACATGTGGCACTGGTGGAGTGATAAAAGAAATGCCTCTGAGTTTACAGTGGGACGACTTCAATCGCGTTGATTGGTGGTGCACAATCTTGACAGAAGACGGCGAGCTCTACTCGGTGAAGCCTCCTTGCTTGTTTGCCAGTGTTCCAATCAGCTGCCAGAACTCGAGGAAAGTCAGCTCCCCGTCGTTGTTCTCATCCAGCGAGCCCATGAGCTGATCGATGGCCCCGGGGTCGCTGGCGTTCTGTTGGGGATCACAGAGAGGAGATCAATACGAGATCACTCTGAGCTGCAATCTCTCTGCAAGACTGTCCTGCCACCTAATGGTTAATGAATATAACTGGAGTACTAATTCAATTACAGCCACAAAATAGTTTCCTGATGATGAAATCCTTCAAGAAGAAAAAAACATTTTGATTCTGTGCATGGGTTTGATTAAAATGTCCTATATCTTGGATGATAACAGTGGTAAAAAAATCAAATGGAAAAAAATGGAAAATTCCACTTTCAGAGATTCAACATTACACTCACACATTTAAAAATAAACACATTTGATAATCAGTTAAACAAAAAAAGGGATTTATGAAGTAAAACCAATAACCCTGTGTTTTTTATAGCTTGTCAAATGTTTGCTTGCCTTCCTTCATCTAATGCAGTAATATGTATTTCCCTAAGACAACTTGCGTAATTTGAATACACATCAAAAGGTAGGAAATCAGTGTTATTTAAAAAGAATACAACATCATACACAATGATATACTCCACAGGAACAAAAATAAAATAATTATAGGTAGAGTAAGAAAGAAAATTGGCTTAACATGCAGCCCTATATATTATTTGTATGTTGCAGTCTGAGACCTTGTAATGATATTTCATATAAGGACACAAAGCATAAACAGAGGTGGGAGAAGTACTCAGATCTTGTACTTGAGTAAAAGTACACAGAGTGTAAAAATAATCTGTTACAAGTAAAAGTCCTGCATTCAAAATGTTAATCAAGTAAAAGTACAAAAGTATTAGCATTAAAATATACTTAAAGTACCAAAAGTAAAAGTACTCATTCTGCAGATTGGTCCATTTTAGAATAATATATATTACATGTTTTGATTATAATTATTGATCATTAAAGTGTTATCAAAGCTGGTAAAGGTGCAGCTAGTTTTAATGACTTTGTATACTGATGGGTAGCTTGTGAATTTAATCCAGGTGTAACTAAAGTCTGATTTAAGTGTTGATTATATTTCACATCATTAATCCAAATCTGCAAAGTAACTAAAGTATTAAATGAATGGTGGAGTAAAAGTACACAATTTACCTCTGAATAGTGGAGTAGAAGTACAAAGTAGCATAAAATGGTACTTACTGTAAGTGCAGTACTTTAGTAGATACACTTAGTTACTTCCTGAGCATAAACATGGGGCACCAAAATGGAACATAAAAAATAATAATCACAAAAACTATATGACATATAAACGTATATTACATTCTCATATACAGATTGATTAAATTGTACAATTACAAATGTGGCGTTTTGTGAAAAGCAATAAACAGACAGTAGTCTACTAACAGTACTCTGAATAACACTGCAGTCAAATCTCAAAAGTCTGCAGTTATGTTGCATCATAAATGACAGTTTCTTGGATATGTTTGTAAGTCAGGTAGAAATCAGAGTCTATAAACTTCTATAATTTACCTTGACATAGTTGGGCAGCTGAGCGGTCACCAGGTTGTGGAACTCCTCTCTGCTCAGAGTGCTGGAGGCTCCATCTTTCCCAGCGTACGCCTTGAACTGGGAGACAAAGGTGCAGATGGCAGCTTCCATGATGGTTTGTGTAGGGACCTGAAAAGTAAAGAAATGAAACCTCAACGAACATCTTTCAAAGTCCGACTGTAGTAAAAAAACAATGGCAATGGCCTCACCTTTAGTATTTGAGATCCTGAGTGGTGTGTTTCAGCTGGTATCAAGAACCCTGTGCCTCCACTCTGACCATCACCTCTCTGAATATATATACGCTTCATCTCCGCACACATCAGCGGAAAACACTCAACTCGCCCTCTTCTCCCCCATCCAGCGCCTGACCTTATCTCGGCCTGATTTCCACTCAAAACTGCACACACACACAGCTAAAAACTGACACTGTCCTACAAAAGGGCAAATTTGTACTGATGGAAGCACAAAAGCCGTTTCTAGTCGGTTTGCAGAGCAAGGATCTCTGTCAGGCCGTTCTAATCAAGTGACTGAATCGTGCATGTGTAAGCAGTAATCAGTTTATACAAAACATGACTCAAATAATACGGCATTAGGGACAACACACTCTGTAAGTCTTTCCAAGTACAGCAGTTAATGTGCATGGAGAAGGAAGAAATGGTCCCATTACATGTTAAAGGAGTTTAAAGATTATGTAGAATGAGAGATTACTGATATTTTGGGGAATTTAACTTTCTCAAGATTATCTTTTAGATATTTTGTAGTTTACTCCATGTGTAGTTTAATGTGCCTTTGTCGTCTTTTATTCTGGAATCAGGTTGCAACTGGATAACGGAATCCTAGTTAGAAAAATTAACATAAGCATGCAGAAATGCTGGCATGGCTGATAGGATGCGTGGAAAAGGTAGGACCCAAACGCAGTATTAAAAAGGATAAGCGGGTTTTAAGGGATAACAAAAAGCGAGCTTTATTTTACAAAAAGCCGATGACAAAAGAAAACAAGAAACAAACGTAACATTACCAAATCAGGGGAGCACGAGTAAAGAATCCAGGATCAAAAACTTCAGGGACAAACATGGAGCGTGACGTGAAGGAAAAGACAAACAATGAACCGACAGGGGAACACAGGGAAAGACAAGACTAAATACAGAGAGGGGTAATCACGGGACAAGAAACAGCTGGGTAAGGGAGGGAGAAACACAAGGGCAACAGGTGAACACAATGAGACAATCAGACACACCACGGTTGCGGTCGAATACTCCAAAAAAACAGCTCCTAAGTTTTCTATACAGCGGACTACAACAGGGATGTTTAATAAGAACGAGGGACTACTGTAAACTCTGCACCGTGCTCTGATGCTGTTGTTTTATGCTTTATGAACAGGGACAACAGAGAAACATATTCTTCATGACCAAAGTTGGAATTGAAATAAAAAAGGAAAGTGAAACTTATGCTCGTCACCCTCTCCCTCCGGTCCACATTAATACAAATGATCCCAATACGTATGATTGTATGAACTATGAAAAGATCTTAAAAGCAATACAAATGTATTTATTATAAACGTTAGTCCTTAAGATCTATCACTGTGTATATCACCATTCAAACATCTTTTTAAAAGTTGAACAAACCCCACACAGCTTAGTAAAGACTGTGAAATGTTGACTTTATTTGATCATTTCAGTAAAAACTAACGTTCATATTTCTCTTTTTGATTATAATACTGATGAACGTTCAAAACAAAGCACTTTGGCAACTTACCACATACGTTTTGAACCGTAACTTTCATGATATCATTTCTCGTTCATAATCGATTGTTTCCGTGAACGGCCGACTGTTGTGTGACGGCAAATGCCGCGGCTGCAAGGCATTGTGGGGCAGCATTTTCTCCTCTCCTTTCGGTTAGGGAGGTCCAGTGGTTCCTAAGCTAAAGGAGGTTGTAAAGGAAGTTTGAAACCTCCTTTCCTTTTAATTTAGAGAATTCGAACGGCACTTATCATGGCTGCCACTGAGGGACTTCCGGGTCATTTCACTCCGTTAGGAAGGTTCCTAAGCTAAATGGACTATTCGACCGCAACCCTGGGAAACTAAAGACAGGAAGGCAAACACAGGAAGTAGGACCAGACAAGACACAATGAGGAAAATGAAAACAACAATCCAAAACTTAACACACAAAACTCCAATCCTGACATAACCCCCCCCCCCCCCCCCCCCCCCCCTCAAGGGACGGATACAAGACGTCCCTACACAAAGTCCAACATATCCAAAAGGGTGGGTGGAGGGGGTCCGGAGGACGGGTCTGGGTCGACAGCCCAGAGGGAAGGCAGAGGAACAGGAGATGGTCTCGGGCGGACGGCCCGGGGGCAAGGCAGAGTTCATGGTGGGGGTCTCAGGCGGACGGCCCGGGGGCAAGGCAGAGTTCAAAAAGGGGCGAAGGCCACAGCGGGCAAACTCAGGGGCCGGGCATGAGGGCGAAGCCAGCGGCTGGAAGAGTCAGGGGGCCGGGCTCGAGGGCGAAGACCACGGCTGGGGAACTCAGGGGGCCTGGCTCGAGGGCGAAGGCCGGGGCTGGGGAACTCAGGAGGCCAGGCACAAGGTCGGGCAAGAAGGTGGCGACGGGACAGCTCCGGAGGGCGGGCAGGAAGGCGGCGACGGGACCGCTCCGGAGGACGGGCACGAAGGCGGTGACGGGACAGCTCCGGAGGACGACGTACGCCGCAATGGGACCCCTCCAGTGTCAGCTGGATCGCCGGAGCACTGGGATTGAGAGCAGGAGCTGGTGGGACCCCTGGCGGGACAGGCGAAGACGGGACCCTGGACGGAACATGGGCTGGTGTCAGTGGGACCTCCAACATGACAGGACATGGTGTTGGCAGGAAATCCAGCGGAGCAGGTATCGGCGGGACCCCCAACAGGACAGGATCAGGTGTTGGCAGGAAATCCGGTGGAACCCCCAACGAAACAGAACATGGAGTTGGCAGGACCCTCAGTGGAACCCCCAACGACACTGGACATGGAGTTGGCAGGACCCTCAGCGGAAACCCCAATGGCACAGGACTTGGAGTTGGCAGGAACCCCGACGAAACAGGTGTCGGCTGGACCCCCAACGGCACAGGACATGGAGTTGGCAGGACCCTCAGCGGAACCCCCAACGACACAGGACATGGAGTTGGCAGGACCCCCGGCGAGACAGTTGACGGCGGGACCCCCAACAGAACAGGACACAGAGTTGGCAGGACCCCCAGCGGAACCCCCAACGGACCAGGACATTGGGTTGGCAGGACCCCCGGCAGAACAGTAGTCGGCGGGACCCCCAACGGGACAGGACATAGAGTTGGCAGGACCCCCGGCGAGACAGGTGTCGGCGGGACCCCCAACAGAACAGGACATGGGGTTGGCAGAACCCCCGACAAAACAGGTGTCGGCTGGACCTCCAACGGTACGGGACATGGAGTTGGCAGGATCCCCGACGAAACAGGTGTCGGCTGGACCCCCAACGGCACAGGACATGGGGTTGGCAGGACCCCCGGCAGAACAGTAGTCGGAGGGACCCCCAACGGGACAGGACATGGGGTTGGCAGGACCCCCGACAGAACAGTAGTCGGAGGGACCCCCAACAGCACGGCACATAGAGTAGGGACTTGAGTAGGGACTAGAGTAGGGACTGGAGAGGGGACTTGAGAGGGAACTTGAGAGGGAACTCGAGAGGTGCCTTGAAAGGGAATTCGAGAGGAGACTCGAGAGGAGACTCGAGAGGGGACCTGAGAGGGGACCTGAGAAGGAACTTGAGAGGAGACTTGAGACGGTCGGTACACCGACAGAACACGGGGGGTTGGCGTCGGCCGGGACGCCGACAGAACACGGGGAGCTGGCGTCGGCCGGAGAGCCAACAGGAGACGAGGACCCGGAGTCGGGACCATGGCTGCTGGGCCCGGTACTTGAGCCGGAACCATGGCTGGAACTGGAGGCGGAACCATGGCTGCTGGGACCGGAACAGAGGCCCGGACCATGGCTGTGTGGGCCGGTTCTGGAGCCGGAACCATGGCTGTATGGGCCGGTTCTGGAGCAGGGACCATGGCTGTATGGGCCGGTTCTGGAGCCGGAACCATGGCTGTGGGAACCGGAACTGAAGCCTGGATCATGGCTGTGTGGGCCGGTTCTGAAGCCGGAAACATGGCTGTAAGGGCCGGTTCTGGAGCAGGGACCATGGCTGCTGGGCACGGAACCGGAAAACACGGAACCATGGCTGTGTGGGATGGTACTGGAGCACGGTACCATGGCTGTGTGGGCCGGCACTGGAGCACGGAACCATGGCTGTGTGGACCGGTACTGGAGCACGAGCTGGCCTCCTGACCTTGCGTCTTTTAGAGGTCTTTTGGAGGCTCCGTGGACCTCCAAACGTCAGGCGGGATCCCAAGAAAGGGTCAGAGAATGGAGACTGGCACTCAGGGCTACGAGAAAAAACTCTGAGCAATTCAGGCAACGAGCTCCTCAACCATGGCACGTTGTCCACCTCCATTTGTGCCTTTTTGAGGACAGCCTCTTTGTCCCTTTTAGCCGAGGTTCTACTCCACTCAGCATAATAACACTGAAGAGTGTACTCTAGGCCCTCTAGGGAGATCAAATCCAAGTCAAAATAAAACTCTGCTGGGTCCATAGTGGGTCGGTTCATTCTGATAGGATGCGTGGAAAAGGTAGGACCCAAATGCAGTATTAAAAAGGATAAGCGGGTTTTAAGGGATAACAAAAGGCAAGCTTTATTTTACAAAAAGCCGATGACAAAAGAAAACAAGAAACAAACTTAAAGTGGACCTATCATGCTATATTTAAATGATATATTGTAGGGCCATACCTATATAAGGTATATTTATACGTTTCTGTTTTCAAAATACCAAACAGATCATGCATTTTAGCCATGCCTCATTTCGCTCTATTTGCTGTTCTCCAGCCCTGTTTTTGCAGGGGGCTGATTCTGTGAGCTGCAACTGACCACGCCCCCCTGCAGGAGAGGGGAGCGCTCTGATCAAGTCAGAAGAGGGGGATAAAAATAGATCTCCGTCCTCCGTGTTTTATTATAGCCTATTATTATATAGAGTCGTTATTCATTTGTTTTAAAGCTCAATAAATAACAAAGAAGACCTTTGACCGGCACTTTTCTAATTTTGTCCAGAAGATTTAAACTTTAACGGACATCTTGGCGGTGGAAAAAAAACTGAAACTCTGCCGCACGGTCCCCTCGTTCCTTGGAAGAGGCGGAGAGGTGTGTGTTTGTCATCTGCTGGTGGACTAACCGGAGAGAATTACAGTGCTTGCCTCGACGGGGAGGGATTGCATTGAATTAAAGCAGCGCAGGAGCAAACGCTTGCCTCCGGGAGGGAGAAAAAAAGCCACAGCGGAGAATAAACAGAAGGGTAACCATGGTAACCATGCGCGGGAAGTCTTCTTCGCTGCTTTTGTGGTAGACTACAGCGCCACTTATAGGCCTGGCATATGTACTACTGCGTCTCCAGCGCTTTCGAGCGGCAATGGCCGGCCGTGGCCCAACCCCACATTCCCCTGATAGGTGGAGAGTTGGCCCAATAGCCGTAGCGCCACCGTCCTGAGTCAGGACAGTGTTCAAATCTGGATCAGTTTTTATCAGATCCGTTGCAGCCCCTTTTTTAGAGATTTGGGTATGGAGGAAAATAGAAAGGGTTGTGTTTTCTGACACTTGGTGAGTTCCCTGGAACACCGGGGACACATATTCATGTATAAAAGACGTACAAAAGTGCATTTTGCATGATAGGTCCCCTTTAACATTACCAAATCAGGGGAGCACGAGAAAAGAATCCAGGATAAAAAACTTCAGGGACAAACATGGAGCGTGACGTGAAGGGAAAGACAAACAATGAACCGACAGGGGAACACAGGGAAAGACAAGACTAAATACAGAGAGGGGTAATCACGGGACAAGAAACAGCTGGGTAAAGGAGGGAGAAACACAAGGGCAACAGGTGAACACAATGAGACAATCAGACACACCAGGGAAACTAAAGACAGGAAGGCAAACACAGGAAGTAGGACCAGACAAGACACAAGGAGGAAAACATTTCAAAATAAAAGGTGGAAAATGAAAACAACAATCCAAAACTTAACACACAAAACTCCAATCCTGACAATGGCGACTTGTTTCAGAATTCAAAGAATGACAAGCTCTCTCTGAAGTGTCGCATAGTGACTAATTGTTCTGGAGCATTCTCATTCATCCGCATATCAGGTCAGTGAGTGCCACACAGGTTGGTTTGTGTATCATTACAGGCTGAGAGTTGGTGCCTGTGAATGTGTAACCTCCCGCTCAAAGTATTTAATCTAGATGTAAATATTTTAGTTGGGCATCATGGCTGTGATAAAAGATGCCTGTCAGACAGTGAGTCACACATGTGCTGGGTATCACTGTACATTTAACTGAATACAATCCATCTAAAGCAGTGGATGTATTTTATGATTTACTTCATATATAAAATAAGCTAAAGCATTTTTAGTAAAGACAAACGTAACACATTTAATGGTGCAAGATTTATTGAACTTAACACCGACTTCCTAAAAGAGGACATAAATGATGACGAATGAAATTCAAATTAATCACATTTTTCAATACATTTGTCCAGGGATCATTCACATGCACGTCTGAGCCAGATCCTACAATAGCAGTAAGCACAGAGCCCTACCGTCGTCCCAGAATGACAAAAAAAGATATGCTCTAAATGTTCATAAATGTGTTTCATTAAACTAAGGATTCTTCTAATGAAATTAAGCTTTCTTCCGATCCCTTTGGTCTTAATACTTTCTAATAAAAAGTTCCTCTGTGCAAACAGCAGAGAACGTTTAACACTTCATGTGTAAACCCTTTGACATTCATTCTCTGCCTTATAAACAGCCCCATTAGGAGCAGTGTAAACTTTTCTTCCTTATCTTGCAGAAGCAAATGAAATCCACGACCACTCGTCCATTCGAAGGTATTCATAATAATAAAGGCACGTAAGCAGTAGCTGGCAAACTAAATCTCTGAAGTAACTGAAATAGTTCACAATATTCACATTCAATGTGTGTGGCCTGGGACAAAGTCTTATTAAAAAGAAGGGAAAGAGTTTCAGCGTACTGACAGAATAAATAAACATGAAACACTCCAAAGCTCCTGGAAAATGAGAACCAACAATCACTATCTGTCGACTTTAACTTCACATCCACCTAAAGAGGGAACACTTCATGATTACAAATACGACTACAATCAAAACAAAAATAATGATTTTGGCTCAAATAACTGGTCAACACTGTAAAGCAGTGCTGCAATACTTGATGGACTTTGTTTTGTGTGTTATGTCTGGCTCACAAAATGCAGCAGCTTCCTCATTTTGGCATTTGCTTGAACTAAATAACTTTTACTATATCAGGTGTGTGCATGTCAGTTAACATCAACCTGTTAACAGAATAAAGGGACAATGACAAATATACTGCTTTGGTTGCCAATCTCATTTACAGGACATTAAGTCTATCCTTTTGACTCTGATGCTCTGGGATACCCAGTATATATATTTATATAGATCTTGTGTTGGAGGTCCCCATGGCTACATTACAAACATATTAAAGAGTTCTTTAAAAAAAACACAATAGAGAAAACAAACTTTGCTGTAAATGTGAATGTTTTTGAAAAGTGCTAGGGTGGTTTGGCAGTCATAAATGTAGCTATGGCGATCACTTTAACCTATTGCTTTTTTTCTTTACAACTGACGTTTCTCAAACCGGTTCCTTGTTCAGCACATCTGCTATCGACTGACAGTTGGGAGTTGCAGGATGAAACGTCTGACAAATGTATAAACTAAACGCTCAGGGCTCTGTAACTGCACTCTGTGTGTGTTTGCCCAAATCCACTCAAAAAACTGGTCTGACCTGATCTGATTCTCATCACTGAAAGAACCGGGATCTCATCCTCTGGGATTAGACGGCTACAGATGACTTGAGGCAAAAAAATAAATAATTCTCAGCATTTGTTTAAACCTGCTCGCAGTGACACGCTGTTTTCACACAGTTCAATGACAGAGAAGTATTCAACAAGCCTTTCTGAACTCATTTGAACTGTGAGAATATTTCAAAGCACGTTGCTTCACAGAATTATTTTTTGCAATTACCATCGCCCTAAAGCCCCATTGTTCTGTATGGTTTGACTATATCAGTTTGAATTTACACGATGAACTGCAACATGCACTAGGTATTGAGAAAACACCATACAGCAGAGGAAAATCCACACAACACATTACTGAAGGACTTTGCATTAGGAGGCATGACCTGACAGAGGTAGGTAACAACAACTAAGTCAAAAAAGACAACAAGTCTAGCTTATAATTAAAGACTCAGGGGGACACATTAATGAGAGGCACGACCACTCTGTACCAGAAGCTACTACAATTACAGCTCTGAAGAGGAGAATGTAGGCAAGAAATGTCCTATAAAACCACCGGCTGTGCTGTATCTTAGCGCCATTTTTTATTACTTTCCCCCTCTTTGTCTATTCAAGCCGTGGCGGCAAACTTCCACAGGGCCTCCCGTTCAAACTCCTCCATCTCCTCCTCCAGGGAGTCGTCGTCCTTCTGCCCCTTGCTCTCCAAAATGTCCACCATGTCCTCCAGGATGTCTGCCACGTCTTCGGCAAAGTCACTGAAGAGAACCCTGTCGTGGATGAACACGCCGTCCTCGAAGAACTCCGCCGTCAGCTTCCTGATCTTGTCTTTGCTCTCGGACGAGGACCCCTCCAGCTTGCTCAGGTATCCCTCCAGCAGCTCCTCGAACTCGGGCAGCTCCACCGGGTAGAGCCCCTCCTTGCCGGCGCAGTCCTCCACCGAGGTGCAGCCCGGCTGGGAGCGCACGCTGCGCCTGAGCTTCTGCTCCTGGTCCCTCCAGAAGTCGCTATGCTTGTGCTGCTGAGGCTGGTGAGGCTGATGGGAGTGATGGGGCTGCTGGGAGTGATGGGGCTGCTGGTGGGAGTGATGGGGCTGCTGGTGGGAGTGATGGGGCTGCTGGTGGTTGAGGAAGCTCTTGCCATGATGGCTGTGCCACGGTTTCTCCTTCCTCCTCTCCTCTCTGTCCATCCTGCGCTCGGCCTTCTTCCTCTCCCACTCGGCCTGGTTTTTCCTCCACGCCTCTTTGTGAGAGTTTTGCTTCTTCTCTTCTTTCTCTCTCCAGCCTCCCTCTTTCTTCCTATCTTTCTCTCCTCTCCACTCTTTCTTTTCTTCTTTCTTCCACTGCTCATTATTTTTGCCCTTGTTTCCTTTCCATTTGGGCTGCTGTGGCTTCTTCTTCCCCCACCGCTCCACCTGTTCAGAAAGCCTCTTCTGGATCTCCTCCAAACTATCCCTCACTCGTTTCCTGTCACCTCCATTTTTCTTCATCCCTTGCAGTCTCTTCTTGCTCTCCTCAAGAAGAACCTTCTGCCTGTGGAGTTCTTCCTTCAGTCTTCCTCCATCATATGTGTCCTTCTTCCTCTCGGGTGCAGCTTCTTTCTGGTTACTCTGACCCTCTTTGTCCCCGGGCTGAGGGGCTGAGCTCGAGGTAGCGGGAGGCATTTCCTCATCAGCTGTGAAAGATTCAAGATATAAAATGTTATTATATCAGAAAGAAAAGATTAGCACTCTGAGGAATTAAATGTTATTACTTTCATAGTAGATTTGTATCATAATAGATCAGATTTGATTTAATATTGATCTGATTCACTTCCTGTTTGCCACGTGTACCTGAGAGCTGGCTGAGTTCAGTCACCCTGGACCTCAGACTCTCCAGCTCTTTCTTCAGCTCAGGCAGAGATGACAGCTCATCCTTCAGCTTCACATTTTCTTTTTCCAGATCTGCTTTTCCCTTCTCATCACCGCTCACTGCTACTGCCTTCAGTGCCAGGTCAAGTTCTTCTTTCTGAGACTAAGAAATAAAGAAAAATAGCATAAGGTTCTGCACGACTAAACAATAAACATTGAAATGTATAGACGACATGCTGTCTATTTATTGCTGTGCATTAACACAGCATGATTAGCTTGAATTCAGATGGTATTCTGACCTGTAGCTGAGCTTCTAGCTGAGCGATTTGCTGGTTTTCCTGTGTCAGTTTATCCAATAGCTCTTTCATATCCTGTGGATCACCGCTAAGCCAGTCCTGAAGTGAAAATCATTGGCAGATGAATAAAACACATAGTTTTAAATAATCCTATCACTACCATGTGTCTTTCAAGTTTTAAGACACATATGTTCACATACAGGACATGATTATGACATTGAAACTGAGTAAGTGGTAGTAACAGACCTGGCTTTGTTCTACATCACTCAGTTCAGAGGCGTCAAAGTCACCTGTCACATAAGAAAACAACACATTGTTTACACAAGTATTACAACAGGACTTTTTGCTGACTCACAGCAGCCAAGCTGTCTTACAGCTGCATTAGATGCTCTTGTTGTGAAATGCATTCTCTATGCTGAGGCAATACTTGTGTTGCGAAACACATTTTGTATTCAGGCAGCATTTGTTTAATTCCAATTAAGAAAATGAAATATTTTGGCCTAACCAAGCAAAATACCAGCAATAGTTACTCTTCCCCTCTACTAAGGCACCCTAAACATCCAGTGACTTCTAAACTGTGATGATGAGTGCTATTGTATAATTCAGTATGCGTGTTATTTGCCATTTTCTGCTGCGACTGCATGAAGTGTCAGGCCAGATAAGTGCTTGGACAAGCTACTGAGCGTTAGCCAGCTAGCGCAAACGCTGACACTGCTGTCAGATATTTAGTACTGGACCTACCATTATTCAGGTCAGAGAGGACACCAGTTGACATAGTAAAGCTTGGTCAACAAAAATGAATAACAGGCATGTACTGCTGACAGCTGCGCGCAAAGTGCTTATGTCATTTGTGTAAACTGGTTTAGTCAATGAAGCCATTGTGTAATAATGTCATTTAGACAATATTTACAATAAAACCAGTGATGTAAAAGGAAAATATTAGAACAAATCATAAAATATTTATAATATTTATCAGATAAAAAATACTATAGCATTATTTTAGTAGTGCCTTTAATGCATCAGACCCTGAAAAGCAGAAGCAAACTAGCAGGCGTAGTTAAATATTGGAGGAACTCACCTGACAGAAAGAGGGAAGCTAAGAAGAGCAGGATCAGAGAACCCACAATGCACTTGTTCAAGGACAACCACGGCTTTTCCTCCTTTTTCTCGGTCAGCTTGAACTCCATTTCCTCATCTTCATCGTCTTCATCTGATGTTCTTGGTCTCTGCGCCCCGTAGGACAGGACGTTCCTCCTTCTGAGTCCATCATCAAAGCTACTAGATGGATCTACGAGAGGAATTAATACAACAAGATCAAAAAAGACATCCTAAACATGAAAAAGAAATGGCAGAGGGCCATCTGATTTTATGATATATTCTAGAGAGAGATGATGACAGCGAGACTTAAGTTAAACCACATGTTTTTAAATGTGGCCCTGAGTCAGTTCAACAAATCATCTCGACATCTGCAGTTCCAAAAGCGTTGGAACCAAAATCATAATTAACTTCTGGCAGACTGCCTCGCACAAAATACCAAAATCTAAGTAAATACACGAACCGTAAAACACAACATTGTGTAAACATTATGTAAAAAAAAGTCAGTGCTGCCTGAGAAATGGATGACATTTTTCTCACTAATTTAAAAACAACAGTAATTTCACGCATCAAAGTTTCTCCATTTTCTCAGCAGGGTGTACGCGTCCCTGTCAAGCTGATAAATCACTTTCCAGATCCCAGAGAGACACAGATAAACAATATGTAAACCAATTCTTATATCTAACCAAATCTACTCGTGCCAATTACAAACAGCAGTAAACCACTTACTTTTCCCAAGGCTGTGGGCGGGGTCTCAAACCCCAGGGGCCCGTAAAAGCCTCATGTTCATGGTGTGGCAGTTGTTTTATGGTAACATGATCAATTGGAACTTTGTTTATAGATAGACATTTAAAAAAAACCTTAAACAGGTTCTTCTTCATTACCTAAAATCGAGGCGCTATCGTGAAGAGACCTGTGTCCAAATCTTGTTTTAATGCTTTACTATTTGAGTCAACATTGTGCATAAATTAGTTTGTGTTCAATCATATAACCACAAAGCATATTCATGTATTACATCAGCAGATATATTTATGTAACTTCCGGATGAACTCTGCTGTTCATTAACAAAAGCTAACTTAAAGATCAGGTGTTCAGAAATAATGGACTATTTGTCTCACTTGTTGTGCTCTATTGCATTTGGCTTACTTCCAGCTAGCAGCAAAGGGTGTGGATGCGGTGATGTCAGATTGGCAAACACTTTGATGAAGATATTTCGACAGGTAGGTCGACCGTGGGAGTACAGCCTAAAGAGCATGGCTCACGGAAGGTACAGACGTTTAGTCTAGGTAGAGGAACGTTTATATACATTTAAGAGGAATCACTGTAAGTGTATAGTTATCTAATTGAGCAGTGGTTCCCAACCTTTCTAGCTTGAGATAGACATATTTTGCAGTCCCTTATTCTTTAATTTAAAGGATTTTGAATGCATGAAGAGTGTGTTAATTTGTCTGACTGTATTAGATAATACTAAAAGGCTACCTCCCCCAAAATAAATAGCCCTGTCGTTTTATTGCCTTTGTAGCATCATAAATATCCCTATATTTTTACAACATACCTTCTTCTTCTTCCTCTTCTTCTCTCTCATACTGGGTCACTGTCTCAGTGGTGTCCAACTCTTCCTTTTCCACAGTTGCCTCCTTCTCCTCCACCTCCTCCTCTTCCTCCTCCTTCTTCTCTTCTTCCTTCTCTTCTTCCTCCGCCTCCTTCTCCTCTGCCTCTAATGAACCAACGGTCTCAGGTGCAGGACTTTCACTGATGGGGCTTTCTGTCACCAGGCTCTCAGTGTCTGGGACGTAGCTTGGTGGCTCTGGACTATCAGGAACAAAGCTCATATCATCTTCAACATGAGAGGGAGGATCTGTGGCTGTGAGGGTCTCAGTGGGGAAGCTGACCTCAGGTTCAGTAGTGAAGTCAGGACCCTCCACAGCAGGGCTGGCAGGAATCATCCCGATATCAGCAGGTGTGTCAAGCTCTTCTTCTGTAAAGGCGGGAATCTCAGTCACTGGAGGAGCATCGCAGGAATCCTCAGGCTCAGATGCCAGGAGTTCAGAAGCAGAGACATCACGTGGAGCCCCCATATCAATGTTGGTGACAAAGGGTGTGGCTCCCAGGTGCTCATTGTCACTGGGGGAGCTGGTTACAATATCATGGATAACCGGAGGCTGACTCTCCAGGTCGAGGTCTGGAGGATCAAGAAGGTTGGGGGGGACAGGACTCATCCGGGGTGGGCTAGAAGGCATGATGATTTCACTGGGCTCTGGAGAGGTCTCTTGACACACCTAGAAATAAGAAAAGTATGGAGAAAAGTTATCTTTGAATACTTCTTTATCATCATTTTTGAGAAATCTATGTGTTATTTAAGATAAAGTGATATGATTTTGTTTTAGTGCCTACATTTTACACTCAGTTTGTATTGATTACAGTACTTCTCTATCATTTAATAACGGACTATGGTGCCCAGAGTGATGCTTTTCTTAAGAGAATGTCACTCTGGGCATTTGTTTTGGGTGTAGGAATGGGCATAGTAAGACTGAGGGAGTTATCCAGTCACCTTTCTGGAAATACAACATCTGATGTGGCTCAAAGCATCTTACTCTATACATTTCACGATGTAAGGATGCTTAAAAATGTTAATTGTAGAAATAGAGGCTTGACTGTGAAATGCCCACAACGTTGATGTTATAATAATAATAATAATAATAATAATAATAATAATAATAATAATAATAATAATAATAATAATAATAATACATTACATTTATAAAGCGCTTTTCCTGGTGCTCAAAGCGCTTAAAGATTATAGAGCGTTATTGATCTGAAAAGGCTTCTTTCAAACTCGACTACACCTATGCTGGAAACGAATATTGTCACACTGTTAATGTGTGGGCCTTAAGCAAGTCCATACATACGAGAGAAAAACACAACATCAAACAAGACATTTCACACAACAATGCATTAGCAACACCTGGTAATAACAAAATATGGTGTAGGGGGATAGTGATGATGTTAGTTATCGTATGTCTTGACTGGATTATTGCAGTTTACTGTGTACCAACCTGATGGCCTTCTTCAGACAGGACTGTTTCTATTGGGATTTCACTAGCAGCAGCTCCTGAAACAACAATCACACAATGACAAAACGAAAATGTGAAATGTTGACAATAGAACACAATTCTAATGTTTTTAACAGTGATATTATATCAAGGCTAAAAGAGAAAAAACATTGTTTCCTCTCTTAATACACTGTATTTCGGGAATATAATGTATCTTTTTACCTTTTATTCTAATTTCACTTTTGAAATCCTCCACAGAACATTGTTGTCGATTAGCATTTGCTACAAAGAATGACCACAGTGTATGTGGTTCTTAGGCATGAATGTATAATACAACTGATGCTACTGTTGTGTCCAATTCAAACCATGGAATAGGTATTTTTGGCCATAAATGTTGATGATTGTACCTAGCCAATAGCCACATATTTTGACTTGTCAGTACCTGTCACATCCTCAGAGAGACTCGGGGCATCACCCAGGCTCTCAGTGCCGTCGTCTAATGGCCCGACATTCTCCACAGCAGCTTCCTGTGGAGTCAGAGGATCCAGGGAGATCAGGCTTCCCTCAAGTATTTACATTAACACGTATAGTACTCTCCTTGGTTTCACTGCCCTTGACATTTACAGCATACCCTACACAGGCATGTATGAGCATGCACATAAGCCTGGTCTGGAAAACACATCAATGTTTATTTTCTTTCGTCTGTCAATAAGATTGCATCGTTCAATTTGTTTAACTTGCAACAATAAAGTAGATGCTGAATCGCCTTTCTCCCTTAATGAAATGCTTGACAAAAGCAGCCATAAATTATAGTCTAACTTACATTTTACATCCATTTACTTTAAATGTGATACACTTCTATCGTGTTATATGCTTAGCTCTCCTATTAGGTCTAATCTCATTGATATGAATGTGGTGAAGATAATATGACCTAAATTATGCAACAGCACCTCATACTGCAGGCTCATATATGCTAAAACCTTTTTTTTAAAGGTAGGATTTATTGCAGTGGTGTTGAATTACAATTATTTTCAAGTTGCTTTGACTTAACAGGCAATTGTGTACATATTGATAACGGTCATGCACAAATAACTGCACATAGAGCTGAAGGATGCATACAAGTGCAGACATGTCATGTGTTAAATTAACGTGTATTCACAAGCAAGGAAAATAGCTATCCTTCAAATTGTATCCAGGCAAACAGCTTCAAGTTTCAGTTTCCTGAGCTGCTTCTGTCATACCTCAGGGGAGAGGAGGGTCCAGCTGTTGGTGGAGGACCCGCTGCTGCCTGTGCTGTTGCTGTGGTCAGACATTGCCCTCTGCAGGCTCAACGTGGCACAGCACCGTGCACACTCAGCTGTATGGCTTTCTGCAGACGACGACAGAAACAACCAGTCTTCATTGAACAAGCCTGATGCATACACTACATGCATGTAGAAGTTAGGCTAGATTTAATTATGTGAATGCATCATGGTTAACAGCTTTAATATAGATAGGCTAATAGATACAATCAATGATGCACGAAAAAAGCACACAAAATGACTATACTATGTCTATTTTTTGTGTGCAATATTTTGATGGTGAATATGTAATTAATAGTGTAAGAGGACACACTGAAGTAACGACGCTGCAGTTTGAGATCTGATTTACCGCACCCACGGGATAAGAAGAACAGATTGTCGTTAATACAAGTTATGTAATGGTGTGTTGGCATCCATAATATAATGCTGCGCAGTTTTTTAAAGATTGTTCTGTCAGAAATAACAGCAATCTCCTGATCTTTTTCACCACCGCTGCTATTTTCAGCCCACCATTCATTCACATCCATCCGGTCAATCGGTGAGGCAGTTAAATAACCAAAAATGGTCAAACCCTAGACACGCGCACTTCATGGATCCAGACACGAGCAAAACACGGTTAATACTCACGTACCGAAAGCACAGTGTGTGCTTACGCTTCTGTTAAGCACATGTGAAAAAGAAGCATTAAAGGGCTATAGGTGTTGTTGCAACCAAATTCAGGGATCACTCATATGGTAAACAAAGGAGGCTGAATATTCCCACTCTTCCGCGTTGGTTCTCTCTCAGACAGGCCCAGCTGTTCGCTAGCGCTTCAAGCACCTACTCGACTCTATCAAATTCAACACAAAGAAGAAGTTTACCCAATGTGTTTACACCTCAGTCGCTTGCTCTTTTTCTCTTCAAAACGTTTTGTTTTTTAGTACGAACAACGCTCCTCTCTTCCCATGAACTTGGGAACTTTGGGAATTCCAAGCTGCGTCACGTCAACCAAGACGCAATTCGTCCAATAGGATTTCAGCAATGGCTGCAAAGCTCCCGCCCCTGAACCAAGGCTGGCCCAATCAGATAGCAGTGTTGTGTCAGGAGAACGACGCACAGCCCAGCATGATTGACGATAGCAGGTGAAAGTGGCAGGTGATAGACGCTGATCCTTCTTAATAATACAACTTCATGTGTGAACTTAACCCTCAGGATGCATGCGTGTACACACATATAGCCTATATATACAGAAGGAGGGGGCTACCAGGACCAGCTGTACACTGACACGTCTGCAGAGCTATATTTGAACTGTGGGACTTACCAGAGTGGATAACCCCTCTACTCCTGTTGCTGCAGTATGGACAAATATTTCATCATCTGGCCCTCTTTTTTCCTTAAATTAAAGTCTGTAAAAATGTTGTGTTTTCACTGGAGGAAGAACTAGAAGTAGCAATACCATTCCACAGTGTAAAACACATCATGTTATAAGTTAAAGTCCTGCCTTTAAAATGTTACCTAGTAAAAGTGATAATAGCACCAAAATCTTAAATCCAACAATTAAAAGTTGTCATTATGCCCATTTTGCAATAAAATCAAGTAGTGTGTATTAAGAAGCAGTGATGCAATAACTTTTCCATTACTTGAATAATGCAGCTGGTGAAAGTAGGGTATATTTTAACATCATTATACTGCTAGTGCTGCTATGTAGCTTAACCTGTAGTATATAAATTATTAGAATGTATTCATTCATTTGTATTATGTATTCATAATCTAAATATTCAAAGAAACTAGTAAATTAACCTGTCACAACAATATAATAAAGGACAACGTAAAATGCAGTTGAGGAAAAGTCTAAAGTAGAAAAAGTTAAGTAACTCAAGATTTAATTAACTACAGTACTACTGAAGTAATACATAGATTACTTTATATGTAATTTACCTTGGTTGAAAGCAGGGGAAAGGAAAGTGTAAAACAACCCCTAAATAAAAAAGTACAAATGATATCTCAATGTTTTTATTACATTTTGGTAAAGCAGAAGGGGATCAAACGATGTCTGTCACATCTGTAAACCATCTGCAAGTTAACAAATAGTAACTGTCGAATAAATGTAGTATAAATATGGGCTACAGTATTTCTTTATGAAATGTAGTACAACCAGAACTTAAGAAGTAACAAGTAACATAAGTAGGAAAACAAGTAAAGTGTACTCAATACCTGACGCAGACTAATTATTTGATAAATAAATAAAATAATCAAAAGATTATTCCATAATGTTAATAATGATTAGAAGTTGAAAAAAATACATAAAGTGTTAAAATCATTAATGTATTAAAGAGTAAGAAAGAGGAACAAAGCTCTTACCATATATCCATAGTCAAGAAGAAACTAAAAAACAACACGGGATGACACAGTGGAAATATCTGGGTCATGTTTGGATTGTTTTTGTAAATTATAGCGTTCATGTGTACTAGATGTGTTTTCAGTATACTGACCAATAAGGAGACTCTGTAGCGATGATGGTGATTTCCTGCGACAGACTTAACAGACCAATGGCAAGAGAGTAATGTGGATGCATTGACCAATGGGAAGAGAGGATGTCTATTTGAACGGCAAAAAGCGGGTTAGCAAACATTCGAGAGGGAAACAAAGAGGAGTCAACATCTTACTTCTCTTGGACGCGAAACACTGGAATAATTTACTTTTTTAAGGGTCAGGAATTCTTTGACAATAATATAAGGTAATTCTGAATCCCGGTTGATAGTGCTCACCCAACAGCAGAAACATCTAGTTCTTTAAAAGTTCTGAAAGAAAACGCTTGTTCTCGGCTAACTTTAGCGAAGTTAGCTCAACTGTTAGCCACACTCGCTAAGCTACGCGAGCTTCCTGTCACGTTGTTCAACATTTGTCTAATGTGTCCTATTTCTGATTCTCACTGTTGACTAATGATGAAAATCTCTCCACCAGGTCCCCGTCATGTCTCACAAACAGATCTACTACTCTGATAAATATGACGATGAAAAATACGAGTACAGGTGTGCATGACTCGTGTTTATCCAACATTCAATGTGACTTTATCATCATGTCAGCGCTATTTTATAACCGTTTAACAAGGTGGCATTGTACAGAAGCCATCGTCAGTTATTTTCCATGATATGTCATAACAATGAACATTAATTTTCTGTTCATTTCCACACTGGTGTTCTACAGACACGTCATGCTACCCAAAGACATTGCAAAGCGTGTACCAAAGACCCATTTGATGTCAGAGACCGAGTGGAGGAACCTTGGGGTCCAGCAGAGCCAAGGATGGGTGCATTACATGATCCACCAGCCAGGTATTTTATCCTCTTTCTAGGGATAATGTCTTCAGCTGATCGCAAAATGTACCAGAAGTGAAGAAAGCAGTAATCGATCTCTTGTCTTGATCACTTTCTGATAACAGTTATTTTGGTCCTCTTATCATGCCAATAATAGAAATCAGATCAAACATGTACAGTGTTACAGCAAAAGTGGCATAGCAGGTAAAAAAGGCATGCAATAATACACAATAAGCTAACATATTAATATATAGAAGAAAGCACACATTAGTTATATTGGAATAATAGGTAAGTAGGTTAGTACACATACAAGGCTACACAATTATGAGCAGCAACTTCAGGACTTAGTGACATATGTATAAGCTGTTGAGACATTATAAAAGTTATGATTGAAGATGTTTGATTGATGGGGCTTTGATCAAATTGAAGAGTGTACATTTGAGTGTAAATGTATAAGACAGCCTTTGTGCCAGATGTTGACTGCAGGGCAATTGAACTATGAGCACTGGCTCTGTTTCACAGCTGTCATGTGCTAAATCTATATTTACACAAATGTGATCACAAGCTGAACTTAACAAGGCTCATAACACAATGTTGATAACTGATATGTCACTAAATTGCTTTTAACTAAACGTGTCTACTACTGTAGTGTTGATTGAAAGTTGAAGTCTAATTGCCAATGAGGGGTTAAAATCATCTAAAGTCCTTGAGGCAAAAATGACAGATGCTGAGTGTTTGATCTTAAAACGGGTTAAGTTTCACCTATTTGAGGGGTTTGTAAAGGCTATTGCTTAATGTTTTGTTTAGTTACCACAAGCATATGGACGGCGAGTGTCCAACCCAGCCGCACCCTTTATAAAAAAATAATAGAATCTCGGTTAGAGGAGTCAAGTTTCTTCAAAGCATCACAATAAGTGTGATTATCTCTGCTTATATATTGTGTGCCTTGTTTTTCCCTCTTCCAGAGCCGCACATCTTGCTGTTCCGGCGCCCTCTGACTTGCCAAAAGTCATAAGGGAGAGAATCTCTGGGTCCTTTGGAAGATCAGCCCTGTTTGCCACAGATCGTCTCATCAAAACAAGATCATGCTGTCAAGATTACCAAGCTCCTTTGTGGTAGGTGACTTGCGATTAGGGCTGATGCCGTTGGACCTGGAGAAGGACTATCACATTTATGAACAGTGGTTGTTGAATGGAGAACGCATTGAAGGAAAAGAAAAAGATCACCCCCCTTCTATTAGGGAAAAAACTTCTTCATGTGTTAACAGCGGGACTCCAGAAACCTTCAAATCAGCTTACATGGTCTTTTTGACTTTACCTTATCTGTCCAACTTGCTGAACCCGCTTGGATATTCCAGCCTTTTAGAACATGAATTGTTATAAGATGTGGGATGTGAAACTTGTTAAAAACTGTTAGTGATACCAACGGAGTGTATACTGGGTCGGAACACAAGCCCGACAGGAAAATGTGATCTTAAATTAAGTTTTGACTCGGGTAAACACCAAACTGCGGTTGTAAGTGACATGTTGCTGCTTGGTTTAAATGACACTGAAAATGTGCATTTAACCATTTTATGTCATATGCATGTAAAGCCGCATCCATGCGAGTCGTCTAAAAACTTAGTTATGATCCCGTTTTCCATGAGAGCATATTATTAGTTTGGCCTACTTAAAAAAAAAAAAAGAAGAAGAGCTTTGGTACCATAGAGCTGCTCAGTATTTGTGTTGTCTGTTCTGAAATTGTCAACTTTTAAATCTTATAAGTGTGGATTTTTGGAAGTATTTAGAGTTAACAACTGGACAAATAAACAGTACCACTTGATACATGAAAATACATTAAGGGGAATAGAAAAAATAAATGGTGTTTGATGACTGAAACTTCCCGAAAATGCTCTTAGAATACATCCCGATCATTGTATGACATGTAAAGCAAGTCACATTTATTTCGGATTGTGGAACTGAATACTCTCGCATAAGGCACTTGATTTTACTGTCATGCTTGTGTTGAATGCATGCACCCACTCTGACATGTTTGTAATCCTCCTCCCTTCTTACTACCACACACTGAGCTGCTCTGCTGTCACTGAGGCCTAAACTTTGCCTTAAAAAAACTGTTCTTTGAACAAGTGCCTTTTTGTAAGGTCTGCTTTTGTCCAGTATTCTTTGACAAATATCATTTTATAAATACATGTGTAGGTAAAGAGCTGTTCTACTTCTTCAGAATTAATAAAAGAATAAATGCAATCAAATCAAAGGTATGATGCATTTAGTCTTTGATGAAACGACTGAAATGAAATCAGTGTTGAATGATGATGTACCCCTGTTTGGTAATCTTGAAGCTAACACTAGAATATTGGATTACTAAACGTGGATTGTGAAAAAAACAAAATGTGGCTGTATCACAATGTAAATATTTAACTGTGCCATTTCTTCCCACTCTTTCTTTTTTTTCTCCCTAATTTCACATTTGCATAAAAACATTATGCCGGACAAAAGTTTTTATGCCGTCATGTAGTAGTTGGTGCAAACATAAATCTACCGACAGTAGCATGACATTCTTGGACACCTCCTTGCTCCTCACTATGTTTCCTATCACAACTGTAAAATAAAAGGAAAATGCATCAAAACAAATTGCTTTTAAAAAAAAAAAAAAAAAAAAAAAAAATGGTGAATTACATGTTGCAACTGTTCTACATCTTTCAGCACAATTTCTTTAAATTATATTTGGACAAATGGATCACACTTAAAGAAACGTTTCATTAGCTGTGTCACAGGAGGCTTTCATTGGACAAACTCTCTTAATATACAATCATTTAATGCTGTATCTTTACTGTAAATAGAATATATAAAAGCTAAATGAGCATCACCAACCGGCACAGAAAACAGGCAGTTTTGTTTATTTCCTCATTGCTTTGTACTAATTGAGAGTATTTGCTTTTCACACAGTGCTCTATGTAACCTTTAGTATTTTTTTTTTTAATTCTGTATATGAAGAGTTAACCCTGTTTACAAAACCAAATCTATGGTGTTCTTTTTTTAATAGATATGACACCACTAGAAATGCATTCACAGCTTTATTACAATTTGTGTGCCCAAATGATGCTGAATAATTACCATGTGTATTATAATCGGAGGCTGCGGATCATCACCTTACCTACCATAGGACAACGTAATGAGGCTTCTGGGATATAGCTGTGATCTGATAATATGCAGGGCTGTATGCCAGGCAGCACTCTTCATGGACGTGTGAAATGATGGTACACAGTTGGTGTTCATTCAGTGGCTCAGTGATACTGCATCTGTTGTCTGGCAGGTGCTGTGGCCAGACTCATGTTTTTCTTATTAGTTGCCCGTAATATTGCCAATCTAACAATTCCTGTGTCACCCATTACAAGTGAAATATGGGTCTCATCTACCGGTAAATGTGTGTCTGTGAGCTTAATGGACAAAATGTTTTACTGAATTCGAGAGTCGTTATGGAGGCGTACGTGTAAAAAGAGAGGCAGGCGCCACATCTGCCACACATTTCAAAGTTATACTTGGTTTAAATGACAGGGGGTTTATTGCTCTACAAAAGTTTTAATGAAAAGGCAATAACAAAAACACAGTGAGACTATCAATTTTAAACAGAATTCAACTCTTTTTAATTAAAGTGTTGGGTGTTATATAACTGATAGAGTTGCAACCAGCATTTCCCCCCCAGTATTACTTATTGTGCTGCTTATTTCCTCTATCAATCAATTGATCTATAAAAAGGATGAAGTTAAAGGGGCCCTATTCTGCTCATTTTCAGGTTTTATAATTGTATGTTGTGCCTCTACTGTGACATGTTTACATGCTTTAATGTTCAAAAAAGTATGTATTGTTCTCATACTGCCTGTGCTGCAGCACCTCTTTTCACCCTCTGTCTGAAACCAGAGCCCAGTCTGCTCTGATTGGTTAGCTGGACGGCTCTGTTGTGAATGATCAACCGCTGGTAGATGGCCCAGCCCTTAGCAAATCACGTATGTGAGTGTTACATAGTGATGTCATTGTGTTAAGCAAGTAAACAAAGGAGGCGTTTCAGACAAGGGGGGAGTGTGTGGCAGAGAAACTCCCTCTGGAGGGAACTTAGGGATTGTAGCCTTTGCAGACCCTTCATGCACAAAAACCTAGAACACACTACAGGAAAAGGAAAACCCCAACAAGAATAGGGCCCTAAATAGAGATAACAATCTCTCAAACAAAACCCACTATTTTCAGTTTACTAGCAATACAAACAACATAGCAAAGATTTACAATTGAGAAGAAAAAATTAGAAAGCACCCATGGATTCTTTGACACATCTTTTGAAAATGTCCATCCCAGTTTCTCAAAGTCCAAGATGATGTCTTTAAATATCTTGTTTTGTTAGTCCAAAACTCAAAGATAATCAGTTTAATATGATATGCTATGATGAATTGGAAATGGGGGACCCTGATGTAAACAAGACAAAAGTCTTTCTCTGGTCTGCATCCCCTTAACAATTGTATGTTTTGAGCTGTACTGTACTGTACCCAATATACAAGCTGTTAATAAACTTTTCAATCAATCAATGATACAAATCAGAGAAAAATAGGACTGAAAATGGCATTTTTTGAAATGCCATTAAATCAATTATCAGAATAGTTTGCAATTTGTAATTCAATCGACTAATAGATGCACTTCTAACATGCACTCACAACAGCTAATCTGGGGTGTTTGAGAATGTTTAAAAAGTATGATTATCGTCATGTATTAAATGCATTACTGTAATACTCTTGTTCCTTGTGGTAATTTCAAAGGAAAAATACCCAGTTGGAATATATCGGGGTACAAACAGGTAGTCCTACAATGTATTGGGAAGTAAACAACCGTTAGAATATGATGCTCCTCATCTTCCAAGCAGTATCAAAGTCAAGTAGTGTTATACATCTGAACACTTCATGGTACACGAGGGGAGAGCAATTTAAATGTGTTTCTAATAAGGCAGTCCAAACCTTAAGGGGTGTGGTTGCTAAAGGGTTACTGTCTTATTCAATGATTTGTCTTTGAAAATGGTTTGCGTTTGTGGAGAGAGGATGTGGTTATCAAAGAAAACATATGACTTGTTATCCAGTATGTCCGATTGCCTTAGGCTGAATGCTTCTCGAGACTACAAATCAAAGCAAGACCAAATATAATAACGATCAAAGAAAACAGAAAATTCCCCATTTAAATACAGAAGGATATCCAAAACAGCACATGAAAATGCCTCTTCTGTGTGATTCCACTTTTCAAGTTTTACATTTTAGGCTTTAGAGGGCAGTATAACACAACCGTGTAAAAGGAGAGGACAATCTACATTCATTTAATTGGCTTTTTGTGTCTGTGCTGCATGGAACACAAATATGTATATGATCCAGGGTTACATCAATACTTTCTATTTGTCTACATTGCATTTGCCAAACCATTTCTATAATGTGAAACTGCTGTGATCTAACAAAAACAAATAATTATGTCTGTGTGTCCCAGATGCTCACAGCCCAACGGTGGGTGCAAACCGTGCCCATGGCGACAATCACACACCGTGGGTAGTAACTACACAACTTTGGAAGTCAGGGGTAATGGAGGAAGGAAAATGTTTTGTGAATCACAGTTTTCTGACAATTTCTGGAAGAATGTTGCCAAGGTAATGGACTGTGATGGTCAGCAATCTGAGCCTCCTGCTGAGATCCAGAGATGTGTGGTGGGCAGAATAAGATGTTTGACACCTTTGGGTGGAAAAAAGATTTAGCAACTGCAACATGAATCATGCTGAAAATGGTTTCCTGCTGGAATCTTAAAGGTAAAGGATAACCTACATCTGTAACTGTATTTGCAGAATAGCCTATAATAATGACCCAGTTTATCAAGTTGGTGACCTTTAATGAAAATCTATCAGTTATAGTATAATACGATTCACTTATAATGTTATTATTATGATTACTAATTGTTTGGGAAAAACACATGTTGATATTAGGGCTAACTAACCATTATTTCCTTATCGGTTAAGCATCAGATTCGTTTTTTGAACAAATAATTAATTGTTTGGCAATTTCACAATTTTCGGACATTTTAGAGACCATTTTCCCTCTTGTGTTTTGTCCACTCAAATAAAATAAATAAAACCAGCAAATGATTGCCTCTGAGGAAGCTGGAACTATTGGATATTTGGCATTTTTGCTTGATTAATTACTTAAATGAATGAAACATAAATTGAATTAACTAAATAAAAATGGTACACAGCATTTCAAAAGCCAATCCTAATCATGTAAAATGTCTCCTTTATTGTTTTCTTTCTTAACCAGATTCCGTTGTGCAAATGAGAAATGCAAAGTAGATTTTGTTTAATGTTTTACCAAACAAAGAACCCACATTTTCAGAGGGATATCTTTCTCTGGTGGGTGGTTGTTGCAACATTTGCTAAATGACGTGTCATTTTTCTTCCCTGTCAGAAATCTGTCCTCGATGTACCTTGGCCTACTTGTTGTTCTGTTTTCTGAATAAACAACTGGAATTTCGCCATTGAAGCATCGGAGCACTCTGGTTATATCTCACACAGGCTCCGCCCTCTACTGGACTCTATGGGTACTACCTCTCAACCATACTATGCAAGCATTCACCTACTGAGATATCTATAAACGTAGCCGCCCCGGGGCGGGCCTACCTGAATGTGCGTGCAAGCACACCATATATAAATAAAGGCGGCCTCGCCTCCTGACTGTCATCCTTTTTTCTTCAGCGAGCAAGCAACAACTGAAGCAGAGAAAGTGAAACGTTTGAAAGAAGATCATGGTCGCCACTTCTAGAGACCCGGGCCTGTCCTTCGTGCCCTGGCTTAAATAGCTGGCGCCGATCCCCACCACCTCTGCTTCGAGTGTTTGGCGGACCAGGATATGGCCGAGGCGGTGCCATTCACGTTCGCCATTCCAGCGGGACGGATGGCTCCGTTTGCCGTTGTCGGGCACTTCCGGGTCCGGCGTCCATGGAAGTCCACCGCCCAGGGTGGACTTCCCCCTCCTGGGAGCCCCCGTGTTACGGAAGGGCTCTTTGGATCGATTTCCTTGGTCACGTGGGTTAGGAGTGGTCGCAGCTTGGGGTATGCTGCTTCTTGCTCATCCTCACCCCTCGATTCCACCGGGTCCGTCTGCGTCGCGGCCCGTCCACACGGTGGCGTGCGTTGAAGCTTCAACGCTTCTGCCCATTCACTTTGAATGGGGTGACGTCACGTTTCGCCGAACTGCATTGTGGGAGCAAAGCGTAGATTTGCTCGCGTTGCTCGCGACGAAAGTTGAGCAATGTTCAACTTTTGAAGCTTCGGCGGAAGCGTCAGCCAATCGAATCATATGCCAGTACAAGCTCTAGCCAATCAAACCGCGTGCTTGTGTGTCCGGGGCGGGAGATTCATGTGATTGGTTGTTGGTCAAGTTTCAGCCCCCCCCCCCCGCCGGCAAGCGACAACGCACGCCGCCGTGTGGCGTCATACCCTACCGGGCGCGTTTCAGAAGCATTTCAGAAGCGGAGCGTCTTGCCTGCCTTGTTTTTGTTGATTTGGGCATATTTCCTGGACAGGCTACTTTGTACAGACAAAGTTAATAATAATTGTAAT